TCTATTCTATTCTATTCTATTCTATTCTATTCTATTCTATTCTATTCCCTCATTCATTAGGCCAACACAATGCAGTTAATTGGGGCATGGTTCCTTCTATATTGCACAATGGCCAAAAAACAAGTTAATTGGATAACCAAGATTAATCGGGTTGCCTGAATTCCAGGTTCTTCAAACATCTCCTCCTTTAATGTGGCTTAGCTTGCCAGGCCCTAGGGCAGAGTTTCTCAACTTAGGCCATCTGAAGGTGTGTGGACTTCAACTGAATTTTGGGAGGTTGAGAAACACGGAGCTGCAGAAAGATGCCTTGTATGGAGTCCTTGTGCTTGGAAAAAGCTCAGCTTGCACCGTTGCATCCAAGAAACCCTTTCATTTCACAATGGGGCAGGAATGACCACAATATGGCCGGTCGCACAGTCAGACAAATGTTTAGTCTGGATTTGGCATATTTATTCCATCTATTAAGTCCTTCCCAAGGAACTGGGATAAAATAATCTGATCTGATGCTTAAATAATATTAAAGTATTGTTACAGGATCCAAGCTGTTCCAAGTTTTGCAATTCACTTCTCTGATTGACTTTTTACAGTTAATACCATTATGGTTCATTGGACAGTCAGCCAGATGTTTACTGATTTGGCATTTTTTATCCACCTAGTAAGCCCGCCCTAAGGACCTGGGATAGCCAGAAGTTATTAAAAGTATTGTTGCAGAATGTAAGCTGTTCCAATAAAGCTGCCTTTTGCAATTGATTGTTGGTAAATTTGTCAATGACAATGTTATTATGGTTAGTCAGCCAGACCTCTAGGCTGGTTTTTTGTGTACCTCTCTAGTCCTTTCCAAGAATCTGGGAGAGGCAGGCAGATGTTGTTGTGTTAAAGGTATCATCATAGGTTGTAAGCAGTTGCAAGTAAAGCTGCTTTTTGCAATTGACTAATGGTGAATTTGCCAATGAGAATATTATCATTATGCTTCATCACACGATCAACCAGATGCTTAGACTGGATTTAGCAATTCTGTACACCCATCCAGTCCTTCCTTCCCAAGGATCTGGGATAGGCAGATGTGAACTTTTGATGGTGTTAAAGGATGCAAACTGTTCCAAGTGAAGCTGCCTTTTTGCAATTGACCGATGGCGACTCTGTCAATGCCAATTTTTATTACCATTATCATCATCATTAACACAGTCAGCCAGATGTTCAGACCAGATTTGGCATTTTTATCCACTACTGAGTCCTTCCCTGGGATAGGCAGATGTTCTCTGATGGGATTAAACGCATCCTTACAGAATGTAAACTACTCCAAGTAAATCTGCAACAGATTGACCATTATTTAATCCACACAGAATGATCCCTATTATTATAGTTTTACACCATTTTTCAAAAATTTTATATATATATGTGTGTGTGTGTGTGTGTGTGTGTGTGTGTGTGTGTGTGTAATACATACTATATATACATTTATATTTAAATATAAACTGTTTATAAATAAACGTATATGTATATATATATATGAAATACCTATATATTATATTTTATATATAAATTCACACATAAAATTTAGATATTTAAATTTATATATTTTAAAAAATAAAAGATATAATAAATTTATATATTTAAATTTATATATTTAAACACGCACATCTATCCCACTCAAGCGGATGAATAGACTGACGCTCTGCCCACCCAGCGCCAGCGCCGCCATCTTACCCGGTCGGGTCCTCCACGGGAACGGTGGGCGGGGCGAGAGCGGGCCAACGGCGAGCCGCGCCGCGGGTCGGGGCGGTCCTTCCGGCGCGTTGCCGTGGCGCCGGCGCGTCCCGCGCTTGCGTAGAGGGCGTCGGGGCGGGGGCGCGCTCCCGCCCGCCCCTGCGGGCCCCTTTAAAGGCAGCGGCGGCGGCCCAGCTGGGGCGTCCCCGTCGCCGCCTCAGGAGCGCCGCCATCATGTACCGCCGCTTGGGAGAGCTGCTGGCGCCCGCCCGCGCTGCCGCCGCCGCCGCCGCCTCTTCATGCCCGCCGTGCGCGGAGCCCTGCGCGGCCTCGGCCTTGCAGCTAGTGCCGCCCGTCGGGGAGCCCCGCCGGGGCTACAGCCAGGCGGTGAGCCGCGAGGAGGCCTCCGAGGACGACCCCAACTTCTTCCGCATGGTGGAGGGCTTCTTCGACCGCGGCGCCGGCATCGTGGAGGACCAGCTGGTGTCCGGGCTGCGCACCCGCGAGAGCGCCGAGGAGAAGCGGCACCGCGTGCGCGGCATCCTCCGCATCATCAAGCCCTGCAACCACGTGCTCAGCGTCTCCTTCCCCATCAAGCGCGACAACGGCGAGTGGGAGGTGGTGGAGGGCTACCGCGCCCAGCACAGCCAGCACCGCACGCCCTGCAAGGGAGGTGAGCGGCCGCCGTTCACACGTGCCCTCGCCGACACGCGTCTGGGAGGGAAGCGAGCGGGCGGGCGGGCGCCAAGGATCCCGGGCTCTGCCGGGGCTGCCCTGCGTGCCCTTTTCCCGGCAAGGCTTCCCAGACGCGGGACTTCGTGGGGCATCACCGCTTCTCTTGACATAAACACGGGTCTGGTTTAGTTTTCCAGACGTGGCTGAGGGGAGTTTCCTTCCCGACCTCCGGGTCTCCTCTGGCCTATGAGAAAGGGACGGGCGCTCCCCTCCTCCCCTTTGCGGGTTCCAGCCTGACACGCGTGTCCAAGCAGGGGTTTTGTGTAAATCGACTTTACCCCTTGCACAACTCCGTTGGGAGAGCGATGGGTTGGCTAACAAATGCAGGCTGAAGACAAAACAACCAGCTTCCATCCCAGGGCTCTATTGAATTCTTCGGTATATTTGCAATATTCATGCGATGTGGAGGGCGGGTGGGTTTCAGTTCAGTTGCATAGAAGGCGAAGGAGGTGTGTTTGTGTTTTATCTTTGTAGTTATAATGTACACTGGAGATGGCATAGTATTTCATTGTGGGAGAAGTTCAATGACAGTAAACTAAACTAATGTACAAATTGCTCCACAAACATTAAAAACGCCTTACGTGGATATGATAATAAACGGTTCTCCATTGTCATTTTGCTGCAATGTGTGAAGTGTGTGTGTCTGTATATACACACACATATATACATACACTCACATACTCTGTAGATAGATTAAATATATATATATATGTACACATATACATACATATACTCTCTGTAGATACAGATAGATTAAATATATTATTGTATATATATATTTGTTTTCTTAAGTTTTCGCCGGTATTTATATGTATGGTATTCAGCTTTGTTCGGGTATTTTCCCACATCATTAAAGTTGTGCTTTTAAAGTTGTAGCAGACGAACACAATACAGAAGCCTGATGATGGCAGATGAGATTCTGTCGAAAGGTTGCTACAACTTTAAAAGCACAACTATAATAACATGGGAAATTACCAGAACAAAGCTGAATGCCATATATATGTATGTATGTATGTGTGGATCTTTGGTTATTTGGGTTTTCTCCCGCGTAAAATTGGAAGTATCTAAGCGACGTTTCAATGAAGTCTCATTCACCATCTTCAGGCTTGTGTCTTCGGCTCTGTGCTTCTTGAAGTAATATGAGCTTGCAGCTGCTTCTTCCTTTTAACTGCTAGTGGGGGTGTGACTTGATTAGGTGGGGGCTTGGCTGTGTTCTGATTGGGTGGGGGGGTGTTCTGTTCAGGTGGGGGCTTGGTTGTGCTCAGGTTAGTCTTAGTTGCCGGGGGATTTGAGCTGGTGAGCTGTGATCCTGTTGTTTGGCTTTGTGTTCGTGGTCGTGTCGCATCTTCACGGTGGGCATCAGTTCGCTTCATGTATGGGTCGGAGGGGTTTGAAGCGGGTAGTGATGCAGCTGTGGTACGGCTTCTGGTCTGTGGTCGTGTCTCATCTGTGTGGGTGTGAGTTTGCTTTCTACGTGGAAGTGTGGTGGTAGCATCTTGTGTGGCCCTCGTGGGTGTGGGTCTGGTGTCATTCTTCATGTTAGGTACTCGTTTGTTAATGAGGGCGGGTTTCCAAATGGCTGGTAGTGGGAGGTATCATCTCGTTTATTCATGCTGTGTGGGTGTTTTTCTATCTCTATGACTCCTCTGATTATTCTGTTGTTGAAGTGTTCGGTTTTGGCGATAGTTCTGGTATTTTTAAAGTCAGTCTCATGTCCTGTGGCTTTGAGGTGTTGGACCAGGGAAGAGGTCGGTTCTGCATCACTACCCGCTTCAAACCCCTCCGACCCATACATGAAGCGAACTGACGCCCACCATGAAGATGCGGCATGACCACGAACGGGAAGCCAAACAGCAGGATCACAGCTCACCAGCTCAAATCCCCCAGCAACTAAGACTAACCTGAGCACAACCAAGCCCCTACCTGAACAGAACACACCCCCACCCAATCAGAACACAGCCAAGCCCCCACCCAATCAAGTCACACCCCCACTAGCAGTTAAAAGGAAGAAGCAGCTGCAAGCTCACAAGCACAAAGCCGAAGACACAAGCCTGAAGATGATGAATGAGACTTCATCGAAATGTCGCCTAGATATTTCCAATTTTACGCAGGAGAAAACCCGAATAACCAAAGATCCACATACAAATACCTGGGAAAACCTCAGAAAACATACACACACACACACATACTCTCTGTAAATAGGTAGATAGATTAAATATATCCAATATTCTATTCTTGGATGGACAAGGACAATAGCATTCAATTGTTATTGTAGAATATACAGTATTGTCCTGGTTCTTATATTGCTGGAAGTGGTTTTTCTTTCTCCTTTTAGGAATCTGGCCATGCTTGCTCTCCACCCAACCTCCCTTTTAAGGTGAAACTGGCTATTCCCCCCGCCCCCTTTTAAAATGTTTCAAAGTTTGCAAAAAAAAAAAAAATATTTATCTGACCACATCTCCCTTTTTCAGTGCTGCTCAGATGTGTGGGAATGCTGTGATACGTTAACCTGGTATTACAAGCGGAAAGATCTCTTCCAAAAATTGGTCTTGCCAAAATAATGAAAAGCCCCCATTGGTGGCAAACTCCTTGCAACCTTTGTTTGGCCTCCTAGTAAACTTTATCCCCCCCTCCCCTTTTGTGGAATAGTGTAGGGGTTATGTTACTGGCATGAATTTTTCAGTTACGAGATAATTTATACGAGTGCATTAGACAGTTGGGAGTGTTTTCATGTCTGGTCTTCATTTGTGACTTTGCTGGCTTGCTTGCTTATATAAAGAAAAGCTTTCGAGTTTGTTTTTGTGATTTTTTTTTCAAAATGGAAGTAATAATAGCTGTGCCCATTTGCCTCCAGACACAGGTCTTCTCTTTCCTGCTTCTTGCATAGATAACATTTCCTACAATCACTGCTTACAATATCCTGATTAATCTTTTTAAACACTTATGCACCCCTCTTCAGCAGAAGAACAGCAGAGAATGGGCCTTGAGTATGGAAGTCACTGTAAGAATAAACCAACAATCAAAGAATCTTATAGCAATTTCCATTAGTTGCTTCATACTAGTATATAGCCTGGGATAAGAGGGGGAATTAAAGCTTTAATACTTGAAACAGAATGGCTTTTTTTGGTAGTTTGGCTGTTTATTGTGTGACAAAACAGTAAACAAAAAGGGCGGGTGTGCTACACAGTGGCAACAAGATTACCTTTGATGCCCTGAATGGATCCCACGGGCATACTTGCAAAGAAAAAGGGGGTATAGCGCTGCTCTTTGTTTGAACCACCCCACCCTTAAAGGAATCAAAAGTAAGCTGAGGGTTGGCAGCATTTACCCCTGCAGGCTACCGAGAACATCTTTGGATATTGTATGATTCATCACAGCCATGTTTGTTAGACCTGCATCTCAAGTTTTCTGTAAGAGCTCAAAGGTATCTTCCTCCAGTTCTCTCCAAAACAGCTCTGTAAGTTTGCACTGAGAAAGAGTTAAGGGAGCTCACTGGGTTTGTGAGAGTTTGTCCCAATCCTAATTCAGCCTCAGACGTCCTAGACATGCTCTGATGGTTGCATTTAAAATGAATTGGAAAAATCAGACGTTTATTCATTTATCTTTTTTGTGAAGTCATCGAGTTGTTCATATGTAGTGTATCCGGCAGTTGGTTAAGCACAAAACTGGCCAGAACGGTAAGGATTGCAAAACATCCTTTCCAGAGTGTAAACTGATTATTTAGATAAGAAAACCTGCACCAAAGGTTAGAAAGGTGCATTTTTGTATAATGGAGACATACCTATCCTCTGGAGTTCCTCCCTTTTCTTCCCTGCTTTAGTCCTCTGTGTGATAAACAAGCTTTCTGCAAATTCTGACAATTCCCTGCAGTCCATAGTTCATTCTTGTTTGAGTTTCACAAGGAAAATGAAGTTTCCTGTGGTGTTTTCAGGAGGCTGCCATTCCATAGGTTTGAAAGAGGCTAGGTTGCCCAAAGGCCAATTAATTGCTGGAAATTTGTGTTTTGGATGCTATATTTTTGTTCGGTTGTTTGATCTTCAGAGAATGACTCAGTAGGTAGAACATTCAGGGTTTATATCAGCATATCAAAGTGTACGTTTTATTTGATCATGAGGTTTACAAAAGAAATGCTGAAGAACCTCCGTGGAATGTTTCAGATGTGAAATTTATGCATCTGGGAAACAGGGCTCTTCATTCTTCAAATATGGGTGGTCCCAGTTCAGCCTGTCCAGATTAGTTTGGATACAAGGTTTAAAAATTCCGTTGTGGCCACTGAAGGATACTGAATAAAATATTTGCTTTGATGTAGACATTTTGTTCTTTAATGTCTACATGGAGTGAAGAACATAGATAACTTTAGAATCACCGTAGACAAATGCAATATTTTCTTGCAGTTTCTGCCATC